ACAAGTTCTTCAACTCTCTGGTGGTATTGGCGTTCTTTCCGTGAATAATAATGTTGTCAACGATATCAACGAAGTTTTGGGTGACATGAACACAGTCCTGAGGAGCCTCCTGACGGATGGGCTCAAAATACTGCCAGTAATCATATATGGCCTTGGTCACACCGGAGGAAGAGATGGCTCCCCAGAAGATATCAGGGTACTGTGTTCGGAGGAATGCCTGTCAACAGATGGGTTAGTATGGAAGGAAAATCCGAGGCCACCCGAGTTAGATACTCCTACTTACAACTTGTCCACCAGCATATGAGCCACCGTACAGGATATGCGCGGTACCAGGAGCAGTCAAGTTATATTTCTCAAGGCCAGGGAACTTGATGTTCTTGGAAAAGTACGCGGTATCAGCAAGTGCTTGTTCGGTTGTCAAGAAGCGCAAGCTCTTGTTCGAGAAATCGGGAGTTGGAAGGGAGCCACCGTAGTATCGGTGCTCCATGATAACTCCGATACCATTTGTTGCCTGTGCAAGCTGGGCCAGGATACCCTTCTGGAGGAATGGAATGCGACCTAAAACAATCACTTCGTAAGTGCTGCTTGCGGACTCGGGACGTGATATCTCAAAACGGGCACAGTCGCCATCACCTACCTTCGCCGCTAGTCTCTCCGCCATGAAGAATGATCACAGGGCCACCCTCCTTGTAATGGCTAGCATCAAACCAGTATCGCAGGTTGAACTTCTCCGTGGTGTGAGGTTCATATCGGCTGCTCTTTGGGAAATGGTCGATGGGGATCTGGATAGTATGCGCAGGGAACGCGGCATTCACATCCTGACTGCGGGCAACAAGAGCCTTGTTACGATGGGACTGACGACAGAGTCAACGGTATTGACCATTTTTGAGCTGGGTAGGCTCTAGTATCCAACTTACCTCAGCGCGGAGCTGGCTGATCGGAGTAACCGGGAGTTTAGCCTGTACTGCAGCTACAAGCAGTAGCAAACAGGCCGTAAGCTTGACCATGATGTGAGAGGATGAATGAACGGATTTATCCCACGACGCAATCTGCACCACAGAAGAGCAATCGAAGGGGGAATCCGTGGGTTCCTAGGTCCTTCTAATAGCAGAAGGACTCCGTCATCAACAACCCGGCATCTGGTCGTATAATTTGACAAAATGCCACCAGCCAGGCTACCAGCGGAGTTGGGATGTCCGCACCCTTGCGAGGGCATACGAAGGCCCCGCTCGAATATATGGGGTTGCAAGATTCCTCCCGGGTACCCCTGTGCAATCTCGTTGAACAACTGTATCCCCAGATTATTGGAGGAATGAGGGGAACATACGGTCTGGAGAAGCTAGCTCTTCCTGATCAGGCTTCCTCAACCCAACTCATTTTGCCCTGGACGGGACATTTTTTTCGCCATGGTATTTTTAGGCTGCATGATGTGACTCGGAAGGTCGCCTGCAGATCCCAAGGCTTGCCCTCTCCCGTAGGCGGTTCGGTGAGCAAACGAGCATACAGCATTCTCCCTAACGCGACGCCAGTCGCGCCAGTGTAACGTAAAATTTGTTAAGTAAAAGGAATTGGAATTCGGCATAGATCCATCCAAAGTAGCTCCACCAAGCGGGCTGAACCAACTGATAACGCTCACTTGTTGCCTATCGGAATTAGCATGGGGATTAAGCTTGCCCATTTTGCATGCACGCGAGACTTTCCTCCATGCATGGCCACCTTGGTTGGGAAATGGCAAGCAATATAGCAGATACGAGACCTCGTTCACCAAGACTCAACTGCTAGTTAACTAAATAACTAGCTGAAACACAAGCATAAACGACAGATATCTGTCTGAGTTGAAGGGGGTGACAAGTCCTTCACCATGGAACGAACGGAAGCCCCTCGGGCCTAACAAACGCTCTCCCGTATTGCCTGCAGGTTGCCTTTCTGCCCTCAATATGGAAGGTCAAGAAAAATGCCGAGGATGTGGTCGGTCTTAAAGCGTGCCACTTGTGCATAAGGGCTAGGGGTCATGCTGGAGAAACAAGTTTTGCCGAGAGCCATCGCCCTTTTTTCATGCGAAGAATCGGCCGTCCTAACTTGTTGATGCAGGATGCCGCGAGACCATGCTAAAAAAGAAGCTCAACGCCGCTTGAAATGTGATGTTGCTCTCCCGTTGCTTACCACCATCCGTAAGTCGGCTGGGCCCAGCATAGATACGGCAATGCCTGTTAGCTTTGATCTGCTGGTGGTGGCCAGTTAGGCGAGATATCAGCTTGGCTCATATCTGCCGGAAAGTAAAATAGACAAGCCCCTTCGAAGATTGCGCAAAGGATGCAGAGGAGTTGAGAATGTTGAAAAAGTGGAAGTTGAGGTTGATGTTGACGTCGCGATAAAGTCGATGGACCGCAAAATGACCATTTCCACTTTGGGGCAACAATCATATCACCTGACTAGTTAATCGGCCACCTTAATTCATTGGACTTAATACATATAAATAATGGTTCCACACATGGGAGATAAAACTAAAACAAAAAACAGCTAGTTATACAGGGAACAGCGGAAGGAAGGTTCAGCAGCGGCTAGAACATGGTACAAACAATTGAAACCAATTAACCCCGCGGACGGACAGGAAGAGAGGAGTATACTCTGTCCCAGCACCTCTCCGCCCATGTTCATGTCATCCCGTTTGGGTTAAAGAAAGCACATAGTTACGATGACTTATTGCTTCCTACCCCTCCGTTGCTGGGAGGCACGGCGGATATTCGCACGGGAAACAGTTGCCTGTTTGTGGATAGCAGCCCGCTTAAGCCAGACACTGCTCTTTCCCTCCGCAATGGCGATGATTTCATTCGCTATCCGGTGTGAAAGCTGATTGTCACGCCTCTTCTCGGCAGCCTCAAGGATCCAGGTAATGGCTTCTCGGCGGCGTTGGCGCTGAGCAAGTGGGCTTGGGATGGGAAGTGCAGCACCACCACCAGCAATACCCCTGATTTGACGAATTCGGAAAAGAGGAGCAATAGAGTCGACGGCGAGAGTAAGGTATAGAATTGGGTTTAGAGGGAGTTGCGGGGATGGAGGACCCGGGAGGAAAGGCTTTGACGGGTCGATGAGTGGTGCTGGAGCAGTGCGAAGATACTCTAGGATTTTGGCCATGTGCTATTTGAATGACGTTAAGTATTTTGGCTGGAAGAAAGTCAGATGGTGAAGGGCCATCTTACCTTCTGGGCAAGAGATAGTTTTCCATGCTTCATTATCAGCTTGGTGAACTGTTCCACCAATGGCTCATACCGGCGATCAAATCTTTCGTTTGGTGGGAGAGGCAGAGTTGGTGGCTCGTACTTGAAGCCCTCTGGGATTCCTTTCTCGACATCAACAGATTCTCCCCGGTTTGAAGCCGCAAGCATGTTTGCAACGGTGGCAGCAGAGGGGTCTTCCGGCGAATTACCCTTCACTTCGCCCTGGTGTAGTCTTGCGGAGGTAGAAAATGATCGCTTAGAACCACTTCCATTCTGACTTGCCGCAGCCTCATCACGTAGGACCTTGGGCATGTTCTTAAGAGCGTCTTTGTCTCGTTTGAGAATCTAACCAAAATCACACAGTTAGCGAACCACTCGCACAACAAACAGCATCATCCATGGACGAAGCATAGGATAACATGCAGAATTAAAATGGTATAATATACATCTGCTACTGGTGTCCCTTGCTCCAGCTCTGGTCCACCAACTTCACCACACTTCTTGCCCATGATCTGAGCAGTCGCGGCTGCTTCTTCACTTACATGCGGCAATTGGTCCTGGTTCGGCCCCAATGGCTGCTCACCAACTCCTCCATCGTTTTGTTTCCCACTACCACCAGACGAAGTAGAGCTCATACGGTAGGCACAAGCTCCTTTCAACGACCTGTGAGGTAATGGGGTATTGCATTTCGACGAACGTAAACTTATATTCCCGAACTTCCGAGTGGTCTGGTGTATGGTATCGTGAACTGGAGTGGCGCGAACGAGAGATAGAGCCGATCGAGCGGGAAGGACGGGGATTCTGGGAGGCATGTTGGATGGGGTCTCTGTTCGTAGGCCAAAAAAAAAAAAATTCTGGACTCTGCTTCTAAAGCGTTTTGATAGCGACGACTTTTGAACCTGCGAGTGGCTGCAGGACGGTCAGGGCGAGATATGTCCAACAGTGGAGCATATATTCTGATACGCTGTATGTAAATGTATTGCAACCGCTCAGTTTCAATGGATGCGGCTGCTGCTGATTCAACCCGGAGTTGTTCGCCGTCAATTTGAGATTGATATTATTGAAAAAAGCTTCGAATTCGGGCGATATGAGAGTCACGTGATGGAAATTCCGTGCGTTAAAGTGCATAGAAGAGCAACTGGCAGCCTAAAGTAATTGATAAACGTTGGACTTCGAGATAACTGGCAGGATCTGACTGTCGATACTCTTATCTCACTGCATTGATGAGTGCAGCAGTGTTCTTCTCTAAATATAAACCAGATACCCTCCCGTCGACATCCAGTCACGTGAGTGGGAGTTATATTTACACGTGACCATTTGATTATCTAATCACAGCAATATGAGTGGACGTCAATGGATCTCAAAATCTAGACTAAATGATCAGGTTGGACGCAAAGGAGAGGGCAATTCGGCTAAGAAGCAGATATAATTGGGTCTCTAGCATGGATGAATTAAACTATGCTGCTTTCCCGGACGCAGAGGAACGGCTGATAGGGGAAAGTTGCAGGCGCCACACCCTGTCAGAAGAGCCGGAAACGCGCGTCCCTTGAGCAACAGTAAGATAGAAGATGTATAAGAGTAAGCCCATTCAGCCCACACGCATCTCCAGAATACGCAGACGGGGAAGAGTGAAGTGGGAGGCGAAGGAGATCGATTACTACTTTCAATGCATAATACAAGGGGTTGGGACTTGGCTATAGATGGAGAAAGAAAGGGACTAAGGAGTGAAGAAAGTACTCTGCTGCTTGGCAGTACAGGATATACAAAGGAGAAGGAAGCAGATCAGATGAAGACGGCGAAACGGCTGGCTAGTTGAGAAGCAACGGCGCCGATGTCGCCTGCGTCGTCAGGATAGACGTAGAATCCGATAGCGATGATAACGTACCTGAAGGTAAAAAAGAGGTTAGTACACATTGCTTGCTGTTGAATATAGAGTATGCACAGAGGTGAAATGAGAACTTACATTCCAAGACAGAGGCCACCCTCGAGGTAGTTGGACTTGCCATCCTGAATGAGGATGGTAACGACGAGCCCCGAGATGAAGAAAGCGACGGTCTCAAAGGTCTGGAAGTGGAGGGTCATGTCCTTGTCCATGATCCAGCCGAGGATGACCAAGAAAGGAGTCACAAAGAGGGCGATCTGCAGACTGCTTCCGATGGCGACACCGATGGCCAGGTCCATCTTGTTCTTGCATGCGACTACAACGGCAGTAACGTGCTCGGCAGCGTTGCCGACGATGGGGATAAGGATAAGACCGATAAAAGTCCTGCTCATACCGGTAGACTGGACGATGGGTTCGATACTTCCAACGAGGTACTCTGCGCATCCTGAGACAAGGACGGTGATGATAAGAAGCAAGATGGAAGCAGCGTAAGGGTTGAGGATGCGCTCCTCTTCTTCCTCTTCCTCTCTAGTATCACCGGCCTCGACATTGGGGCTCTCGAAGAGGTCAGGGTGAGATCGAAGCTGGAAGAAGAGATACATGATGTACACGATGAGAAGAATGATGGCGGTGCCGTGGGAGAGGAAGAGGATGTTCTCCCTGGAGTCGGCCTTGGAGGAAGAGAGAGATGCATAGAGAGTAGATGGGATGATCAGGGAGGCCGATGCAACGGTCATCATGGAGGACATGGTGGATGCCGCGGTGCTGTTGAAGGACTGTTCGTGGTAGTTGATTCCGCCAAAGAAGAAACAGCATCCCAGGACAAGGAGGATGTTGGAGAGCACGCTGCCCAACATGCTGGACTGGACAATGCGAATTTCATTCTTGGACAGAGCAACGATGCTGACCTGCAACCTCGCCCGTTAGCACACAGTTCAAAAAAAAAAAAAAAAAAAAAAAAAAAAAAAAAAAAAAAAAAAAAGGTGAGAGGGACGATAATGGAAATCAGGACATACGATGACCTCGACGGCATTTCCAAAGGTGGAATTGATCAACCCGTCTAACGCCTCTTCCAGGGCGAAATCCAGCTCCTCTGCCATACT